GCCGCATTCAGGATAAATTGCAAGCACCACAGGTTGTCTAGACCTTTACGTATCTGGATGATTTTCTAGTAATTTTGAATGATGTTGATGACCTTGGCATAGTCATCTATGACGTTTTGTATGTGTTTCAGAGTGAAAGTCAAGGCCTGAATTTTGCGCATGAAAAGCCTAATAAGCGAGCGTTGCGATTTCTAGACATTGGCTTGCTTTTTGGCGATAACCACATCTGTTGGAAGTATAATCCTAGATCCAAGAAACCCTTGTTACGTCATGACAACACCCTTTCGAAGCTTGTTAAGCGAAGCATTGCAGTGAACTGTCTGCATTCAGCCCTGAATAAGTCGTGTGTACATGTCATTTCATCTAGCTTTAATGCACAGGTTACCAGATTGAAGCAGGCGGGTTACCCTCCTGAATTAATTTCTGTGGTGTGTGAGACCCTGCTACGGAACATGAAACGCAATCTAACTAAACGAAAAGATTGTAGAAAAAAAAGCATGTGCAAGTTATCCCTTATGTTCACAAATTCTCGCATAACTTGAAGAGAATTGCATCGAAGCATGACGCGCAAGTTGTATTGTCCGCGCCCTACAAACTCTCGAGGTTATGTGGCATGGCCTACAGAGGAAAACGCCCTGAGTGCACAACCAAACACAAGAACAGGTTCACAGATTATATTTCCAATGTAGTTTAGAGGTTTCCCTTTAGTTGTGAACTTGAGTACATAGGTCAAAGTGGCAGGTGTTTTAATGAAATGGCGAAGGAGCATGATTTTAATGTACGCAATATGACCAGTGGTTTTCTGGCTGCCCATTGCAGGCTTTGTGGCTGCTCTCCTGACTTTGGTAGCACTCGGTTTTTAAAATGGGGAGGGATAAGATAGAGCGCGAAATTGTTGAGGCTTTCTTCATTCTTGAAGCAGGTGAAAAGTGCGTGAGCAGGCCTTTCATATCCTTGTCTGACGCTAAAATTAGTCATCTTAGAGGCTTTCTTTGATTTTCTATGTCATTTGCTTTTCATGACCTGATGCATTTCACTCATCACGCTTGCGCGAGTTCCTTTGAAGATTTTATCGTTTGAAGTTTTTATCGCTGGTCAAAACCAGCCCTCTTCTCTTGCTTCTATACCTCCTCTCAATCACATTTTAGGCACATATATATGCAGAGGTGATGGGAATAAACTTTCAGTTGTTAGTCAGCGCTCTTTCTCTACTGTCCTTTTTTTTCCCGAGTTTTTGCGCTGCCCTTTCTTAGTGAGCATATAATAGGGCTGCCAGCCTCCTCGCGAGTGTAATCAAATGGTGGTTTTGAGACGTTAAACCCCACATATAAATCAATCAATCAATTAAAAATGTAGACATTGCGCGACATGTCAATGTTTTTCGGTGCATAGATAAGTAACTCTAAGGGCAAAAGCGTTTATCACGCTGCGCTGACAGTGCAATGCACGAAAAAGCGGGCGCTTCCTACGCTTTCTTAAGACAAAACGGTGGTGGCATTTATCCGCCGCCTTGCATTCTACACAATACGGCCTTCGACATTGTGCGCGCACACCACGCGCTTGCTATGTCAGAGGCCATCCTTTTGTTTTCTAAGATAACCGCCAGGTGGCACTCAAGTCTCACGCAGCGTAACGTCCCTAGATGAAAAAAGTTTTGAAGGTAGCGTCACTCATTGTTCTCGAGCCATCCTCCTCACTCTTTCGCTTACCTCTCATTATCTCGGCCATCCGCGTCTGTGATTGGCGCATTCTTTGCACGTGTGCCTGCAAATGGCTGACAGTCCTATTTCTTATTATGAAAAAGGTTCAAAACAAGCACGCATATGGCTCCAGCCGGACTCTCGCCGTGAGGAAAGACGAAATCGTAGCCAGGACATAAACTGAAGAGGAGGAGCACTTCAGTGTGCGCAAACTCTGCCAAGATTGTTTCGTGGTGCACCTTCAATGCAACACCGGGTTTTCCAACAATGCTGAGTTGCCGTAAAAAAATTGCCAGATCCCACGTACAGCGTGAATCGATAATATGCGAAGCACGAATGAGGAAGGCTGACATGTCACTTTAAAATCAGCACAGCGTTAAGAGGCGGAGGTAAACTAAGCCGTACATGACTTCTTTGTGATAATGATGATCATGTTCAGATGTGTCATTTACCTTCGTAGCGACGCTACACTAGCAAATAGCGAGCACTCCGTAATCTAACGCCAGGCCCGACCGGCGCTACCAGTGTCCGTCGGCGCTTCCTCATGAAGGAATGCCAGGCGAGCGCAAGCGCGCATGCGTCGAAGCAACGCAGTGCGGCGCGAACCTACGAGCATATGGCGGGCAGATCGGCACCTCGCGTGGCATCGCCGGCGTGACGCGACGAAACAAAGTGTGCGCCGGGATACGTCGAAGTGGATTGACGCCTTGAGTGTGGCATGTAGTCGTGTTTTCTCATGACACGCATCTCACGATTATCATGTTTGCACCAGTCAGATACCTTCGTCATCCATTCACGTCCCATAAAACCAAATTTGGTATAAGTGTAGCTAGCGAAACGGCCGCGAGCGCATTGTGAGCGCGGTATGTACCCAAGTTTTTCCATTACACGCGTGTCATGATTATCATGTTTGCATCAGTCAAACACCTTCGCCATCTATTCACGTACCGTAATACAAAATTTTGTATATGCGAAGGTAGCTAAATGGCCGCAAGCGCATCATAAGTCTGGCATGTAGTCATGTTGCTAGATGACACGCATGTCATGATTATCATATTTGCACCAGTCACATACCTTCGTCATTCATTTACGTACCAGAATACCAAATTTGGTATATGCGAAGGCAGTGAAACGGCCACGAGCGCATCATAAGTGTGGCATGTAGTCATGTTGTTACATCACACGCATGTCATTATTTTATGTTAGCGTATGTCGCTTGTGTTCGTTATGCAGTGATGGCTTGTGTTCGTCATGCAGTCATGTTCGTCATGGTTTCAATGTGTTTCACCCATGATAGTGTTGATGTCAGATGAGCTCCTGGATACTTGTAAGTGCGCGTATGATCAATGGGAACCGAATTAATGCAGTAGGTTTCATGTGAGGTGTTGTGTTTACGTGTGAAGGATATGACCTTGCATTAGGTGAGGTTTAGGGGCATATGCCATTTTTCGCACCATGAACTAATGTTGTCAAGGTCGTGTTGTAGCGTGATTGCGTCGTTAAGGAAGTGAAGAAGGTTATAAAGAACGCAGTCGTCTGCAAATAGGCGCAGCTGTGATTTAATGTTACTAGGAAATTCATTCACGTATATAAGAAATAATAGAAGTGATAAGCCGGCGCCCTGGGGAACACTGGAAGTGACAATGGTAAAGGTTGATTGGAAATTGTTAGCAGCGGTAAACTGAACGCGTGCCGATAAGAAATGCTCAAGCCATTTTATAAGGTTTGGGGGGATACCAAAAGCAGATAAATTGATGAGCAGGTGCTGGTGGGGTACGCGATCGAAGGCCTTGGAGAAATCTAAGAAAATTGCATCTATTTGTACGTCATCATCCATTCGCAGTAGTATGTCATTAGTAAGTTCAGTCAGTTGTGTTTCGCAGGAAAGATACTTTCGGAAACCATGTTGAAAAGGGTAGAAATAACTGAATGATTCTAGGTAGGTCATACGAGTTGATGCTATAACACGCTCAAGTATTTCAGATGGAACACTAGTTAAGCTAATCGGGCGGTAGCTAGCGGGGCTTTCGCGGCGGCCTGCTTTAAAAATGGGGACTATTTTAGCTTTCTTCCAATCATCTGGCAAGGTTCCTGTGTTTAAAGATTGGTTAAATATAAGGTACCAAAATTCGCTAGAGAGTGCTGTAGTGTTCTTTAATAATTTAGAGTTGATTTTGATTACCTTTGGCGGCACCCCAAACAGCAGTACAACGTCCGCTCCCGGGACGTGGGGAGCAAAAGCTCCCGCACGCGGACGTTCACGATGAGGAGAAACTGCGAGCACGTCGCAGCTGGCAACGGTGAGCTTTGAGACACTGGTCGGGAAAAGGTCCCTTGCGGCTATGCTGTGCACTCTCACGATGGCCAATGGGCCTGGTCGCAAGAGTTAGGGCAAACCTCGTCCGCGTAGGCCATCGGCAAGTGCGGCTTGGCGTGGTGCGACCACTTCAGCCACTAGGCACCGCTGTTGGCTTAGCGTACAGTACCGAAGCTGACACTCGGGTAAACACGCCCGCCGGGGATGCCTAGACACCCAGGCAGGCTAGTCTGGCGATTCCCAAAGGGGACGCGGACGAAGGAAAACCACGTGCTTACCGGGCAATGGCCAACAGAGGAGAGACCCTTTCCGGCGCGCACGTGACTTGGCCTGGCTGATTCTCGTAGCCCCCGATAACACGCGCCACTGCCAAGCGTGGCGCCATTTATCGCCACGCGCCGTTACCAGAGCACGGGACAGGAAAAGAACCGCCGTACGGAGGAATGCCCGCAAATCACTCGCGGGCACACCACATATCCCCACAAAACTCAGACAAGGATGCGCTGGCCAAACACACGCGATTGACAGCACACAGGCAGAAGTGGCAACAGCACCTAGGTCCTGTCACTTCCAAAGCCTTGAAAAGCTTAATCTAACACAAAACGTTGCCAATGGTTCTAGCAAGCCAGCTGAGCGTTTCAAGACAACCGATAAATTAGCTTAAAACTTTCAGCGATAATCTTATGCCTTTAATTTGCGTAAATGACGGAAACCTGCAAGTAAACATATCCATTAAATTTATATGAGATATACTGACCTACAATATTTACCAGAGATGACCTTTAAAAAAGGTGATCATTCAAATGTTTGACAGCGTGTCACAGATTGATGACGTCTGTTGCAGTTCCCTTGGACAGCACTGCTGTGCGAGCAATGACGGTGTCAATATCAAAGAACGTTTTGAATATTATGTGGGGTCTTTCACCATGAGTTTGACGTAGACAGTGTTATTTGCTTATTTTCTTGTATTCTGCTTTTTGCAGTGAAATGGAGGAGGAAGGGGAGGAGGTTCAAGAAGAAGGTCTGCAACGGTTCTTGCGTGCCGTGGCCTCAAGGCGGCGTGAGAGAGCTCGCGCACTCGCTTCCTGGAGCCTTGCTCCGAAGCACGTTGGTCCCGAGCACCGTCTCATCGGATGCGCCACGTTCATCAAGAACTACAGGTAACATCACGTGACGACACGCTTTATGTAGAGTAGCGCGCAGCTTCGAAGGTCGGGAAGCACTTCCTAACGAAGCCATGAAACTCATTGCAATTACTGAATTTCATTCTAATATACTCTACAGCAACAAAGGCAATACTTGAGGAGAGGTGAAAACCACAAAAAAGAAAAAAGAAGAAAAAATGAAATAGATAGTAAGGTAAATCCGAACCACAGTTCACAATTTTGATCTGCTGCATTACGGATCCTTTCGTAATTGTTTAGGTGTGCATTGCAGGCGGAGATTTTGTGCCAGTCGAACGTAGCAGGCCCGTCGCGAAAATGATAAGATTGTTGGTGGTAGGCAGGATTGAGAGCTTGCATTCCTCTTTGGGGGGAGGGGTATTTCGGGTTCTACATAGCTTAAACAAAGCGTACACAAGCCTTCGGAACAAAACGTGTGATGTGCGTGATTGAAGATTATAATTACGTCGAATGAATCACTAGTAGGAAGGTGATGTGCGAATACTGCCAGAGGTGATGTGACGGGAATGTTTGGTATCGGTATTCTTGCTGTCATTTGTTTTTAGTCACATAAATTCGCAGGTGCTTGCCATCTCTGCCCCCCCCCCCCTTATGTACCTATGGTAAAAATATGACCTTAAAAGATAGCAGTTACTAGCGTCAAAAAGTTTGCCAGAAGCCGTAGGGAAGGCTTCATGGTGGTGGGATGATGGTATGAGCAAACCATAAATACGAATAGTTAACATAAAACTCAAGCGATATAGAAAATAATCGGTGTTACGTGACTAAATAAAGACGTTTTAATTTCACTTATAGGTGGATTAAGTCCGGTATTTTGAAAAATTCCGAAACTGGCGCATGATTGCTTTACTATTGGCCGGGACAAATGTTTTAGTAAACAAATATTTTGGAGAGATATGTCCACTGTCTTCGAGCATACAAGGCGATAATTGGGGCTAGTTGGTTCATGTCACGTGTTTGAATTATGCGCTATTTTAAAGGCAAAGACGAAAAAGTCGTAAAGACGAAAACAAGTTTGCGCCTAGTCTCTATTACTTCTGTGTATCTCTATACGCCATCGTTGTCATTTTTAAACAGTGTACAACAAATAATAAGTTTTTGAGAAGTGCACATATATGAGAACAACTTGAAGAATATTGTCATGACACTGTGTCAGTGATCACAAGGAACATGACAAAAGTAGAGAAAGAAGAAAGAACTGCATAGAACGAAAAGGCAAAAAAAAATAGGGAAGACGACGAAGAAGGGCGCCTGTGCACGCGGGATTTATAAGGCGGGCGCGTGCTGAGAAAATGCGCGCGTGGACCAAGGACAAGATGGCGGATAGTTGAGGCAGTCCGAGTTCTGCCCGAGAACTGCAACGCGACGAAAGCCGCCCCAGTTTCAACCTCGGCGAGCTGCCGTCTTTCTGGTTCCGGTCGTCCAGCTTGCGGGTGCTGCAGTGAGCAACCGGTACAGGTCAGCGTCACGCCACCAACCTCGAGCGATCTCGGGATAGCAGACACCCGTCTGCCACGTCGACGGCGCACGGGCCAGAGTGGTCTTGGTGGGGTCTAAAGTTCCTTCCGGAACCACGAGCTCCATCACCGAATGGTGAAGACTTCTTGTACGTCGCCTCGCTGACGGAGTGCCCTTTTCACACTTGCAGGAACCACAGCATGAACGCGGTGAGCGACGCTCGGGTGTCAGCGACCGACGCCTTACATGCTGTTAGCCGTAGAGACGTTAGTCAGAGCGTGACTGCGCGTGGAACGTAGCCATGTTAGAACTTACCTGCTGTGTTTTGGGGACGCCTAGTTGTTTCTTAATATTTTTAGTGTTTTGTGTATAATATTTATGTTCTTGAGTGTAAAAGAAAGGTTGCGTGCTTTTACGTCACATCGTGTCCGCTTCATGTGTCTATCTCGCTTGCCCAAACAAGACATGTTGGGTGACATCGTGACACGCTGGAATAAACCACGTTACGGTAGTTATCATGTCAGTTCGCAGCTAAGTGGCTAGATCACTGCAGCATGTATAATTACCTACTGTGAATAACGGTTTTCCGGTTGTCGCTACCCCTTCTAGCAGTGGCCTGGCCCACACTACTCCGCAACTTTTTATCGTCCTCGGAAGAGAAGCAACCAGGCCCCTTTAGACTGATGCGCGAATAAACTTGGTTACTGGTGTGAGGTGCGTCAGCTGAACTAGCATGCTTGTGTTGCTATGACGAGCTTGGAAACAAGCATGTACATTATGCGAAAAATAACTACCCTAATGCGTCAAGTAGGCATCATTGCGAACGAGAACGTCCTAATTCAAATGCACAGTCGGACGAGCTTTCAGTAGTATTGATTGATTTGTTGGGTTTAACGTCCCAAAACCACAATATGATTATGAGAGACGCCGTAGTGGAGGGCTCCGGAAATTTCGACCACCAGGGGTTCTTTAACGTGCACCCAAATCTGAGTACACGGGCCTACACCATTTCCGCCTCCATCGGAAATGCAGCCGCCACAGCCGGGATTCGATCCCACGACCTGCGGGTCAGCAGCCGAGTATCTTAGCCACTAGACCACCGTGGCGGGCTTTTCAGTAGTATTGAAAGTGGTTTAAGTTGTTAAGGCAGAATGTTCGTGTACAGTGCGAGAACGACCAAGGCAGAAGAATTCAGAAGAGGCACAGACAAGGGCCGTTCTTGCCAACACAGAGATTTTGTCGAAGCATAGTTTCTAGCTAACTAGCAAAGCGATCGGAGCATTACACATTAAACGAAGGGATGATGCATGCGTCAGTGTGGCATGGATGTATCTTACGGACAAACAATTCGCCCATCTTCTCAGCACGACTTTCATTGGGTGATACGCTAAGTAAATTGTCCTATTGAATTTGAAAACTTGAAAACTTCAAGTGTGCTAGAGAGGGAAAACCAGAATAGAAGACTACTCGACGAATTCAGATCGTCCGGTGTTCTGTTCTGGTGTACTGTCGCAAGCACAGTTGAAGTTTCCCGAATGTCTTACCAAATAGCCGCAACACACGTTTCTCGAATTTTAATACTTTTGTGCAAAGTTGATGCGTTTTTAAATGCGAATAAGCTTTTTCTCGGGGCTGTGTTCATCCCTCGGCGAGCGTCCGCTCGGCCACTGTGCATACGTCAACTCTCCGCCTCTCCTCACGTGATTGAGAGGACGTGGAATGGGGGAGGCGGTGGAGTGCTACCTCCGCTTCTCTCCAGATTATCTCTCAACCACAGCTGTGTGTTCGTATATACTTATGTGTGCGCTGGCTGCGTCGCTTTCTCCTAGCCACACTAGATGTTCACTTGTAGCACACGCATGGTAAAAATTGGAGGAGCTTTAAGCTTCGCCTTCAAGAGTCGGACGCGATAGCGAAACCCGGCCCCTAGTGCGCCCTTCAACCGCTAAGTGCATACTAAATATTATGTTTTGTTACATACACACACGCACACAGTAGATCGTACCTGCGCGCGCGGGCGAACGGTACATGCAGGTTTTTGATCTAAAGCAACGGTCGCATGACTTCCGAGATACAGGCCGTGCGCTCGCCATCTCGGAGGTCATAAAGAGTCTCACAATGCCTCAAAGATAGCAGCACCTTATCTGGCCTTTGCTGTTTGCTTGATCAACGCCTCTGGAAAGGCATGATTTGTTTTCTACTAGATGGACATAGTTGTCCATTTTTAAAGCTGTTTGAAAGTTCCTTTGTGTTTTTAGCGGCGATGGCTGCACTATCCTGACCTTATTCGACGTAGTTTGAGGCTTCCCAAATGCGCCTAAAAATCGCTGAATGGGCTCGTTTTCGTTGTGACAACTGCCGAGCAAAACGCGTTAAAGAGGCCCTAAAACACTTTTTCAAGTAACCATGGAATGAATTCAATAGAAAAACTTACTGCCCCAGGAATTCATCGCCGCAAAAATTTCAGAAATCCGTTCAGTACGAGTGGGGTTACAAAAGTTTGTTGCACGCTGCAGTTGCACCATCTCTCCTCTCGTCCAAACGAAAGCGCTCGTATCTAAGCAGGGAGGGGTGGCAGGGACAATAAAAAAAAAAAGAATACCGCGCCCCATGACCTTGAGCACTTTTCCTTTTCTTGGAATGCGCGGCTTTCTCAGTGTGATTGCGTGCCCACGCGTGGACACGTAGCGGCCTCCCGCCGGGATCTCTCTTACATGCTTTTTCGCGCACAGACGCACAGACTATTTTTCACTCACAACCAACGGGTCCAACGCCGACGTGGGGATATCTGTGATACGAACTCTCTAACGCTATCGCGTTAATACACAAAAACTGGGGGGAGGGTAACATAAGCGCTATGCAACATATATACAGCTCCACACACGAATTAAACTTGCCTCGAAACTTACAAATGGAAACACAAGTGAACACCAGCGCTGCTTCGCATTCTCACATAGTTTCCTTTAGTAAGAAAGGGTTATTTTTGTGTTTTATTTCTTTCATATTCATATGTTATTCAAAGAAAACTTTTTAATTGCGAGCAGCACTCATCTGAGTCCCTTCTCTTCTCGCGCTGCATCCAAACTTACAGATGAGGTTGGCTAGAATGACGCTGTGATAGAGTGTGTGGGTTATATATAGTTTTGACTTTGGGGTGTTTTTGAAGGTGAACGAAATTTAGATAACAATGGCAATCGCTTAGGTTGAGCGTCCCAAAACCGCACTACGATTATGAAAGGCTGAAGGAGATGACATATTCTGTTTCGATGACTTCGACTTCTTTAACGCACGCATACTGCCTGCATCAAAATGCGGCTGCTGCTGTCGGAATTCTATACCGTGACCTTCGGGTCAGTACTCAAGCGCCATATGCACCAGACCACAGCAATGTTGGTGGATGAGAAATTTTCTGCGTTTAACTGATTGAGAGCACTGGAACAACAATCAGGCTCCTCACCTTAAGTTCAGTGCAGCACATTGCAGATAACAAGTCGCCCTGCGTCAATGCACAGAAATATTGTAACCGCACAAAGTTGATGAAACTAATGTTTGAAGTCCCATAAATATATAACAAGATACTGTGCATTCCATACAAAGCATCTTCGCGAGGCTAAACAATGCTGACACCTTCTTTTTTTTTCAGAATTCCAGGAACTAGGGTGTGCTTCCTGTCGCTGCTCGCCGTGCGAAAAGGCTTTCGCCAGCATGGAATTGGCAGTTACCTGCTTAAGGTAAGCGCAACGTCGTAGTGCCCCAGTATCGTAAAGAAGTGAGAGAACAGTGCACTGCCGAAAAGGACTTCCATGACTTTTATTTCTTCTCTGAATCGCTTGAATGCGCCCAATATTAACTATAGTGAAGCGCATTTTCTCGCACAAGCATCGCTGAAATTCCCCTGCAGTAACATTTCCGGAAAATCATTTCCTGTAAACCTGACGTTTTGTGCTAGTTGGTCGATTGCATCAAATGGTGCAGTAGCGGTAGCACACACTGATGAGGAAGACACAATGGCACGACCGCTTTGTTCAAGTCTGCTAGGACTACGGCACCTTTTAATGACTGGTTTCTTGATTTATTGGAAGGTCGTTAGCTTATAAAAGCTAAGAAAAAATATTAAGTCTTAGGATGCCGACGTAAACATTTTGTCTCCGTGCCTGTGAATAAATTTTCCATTTCTCTCACAGGATCTCTTCGTGTAATTGTGCCACTTCTTCCAAAGTGTTTACATGTTTGGGAAGTTCGAATGTTCAATGCCACTCGATATAGCTGTGATTCTGCAAATAATTGCGTAGAGTGACTTGAGCACATTTTAACAGCTCGGGTAGATCAACTACACCAGCGCGCTACAGTAGCGGATCGCGTTGTTCTGATTTTACGCTGCTCTTTGCTGCACCTCGACTTCATGATATAGATTAACACTTCGGAAACAAAACAGGGAAATTTACTGAAGGAAAGATGTCACACTGAAGACTTAAGGGCACTTTGAATAGTTCTTGCATGTTTATTACAGCTTTCAGTTCGTCAGTTATTCATTTAAACAAGTTATGTTGAAATGAAAATCATACCCTCTAAAATGCCGTGTTTTTAAGGTATCGCACACAAGTTCTGGCAAACGGCCTGAGAGAGAATGAAAGGAGCGTCATTACGTGCTGGGTATGATCAGCTTAACGAAGTCGTGCGGTGCTACCAGTGGTAAAACTTCCAGAATTTAATAGCAATTACCTTCTGATAATTGACCAAGTCGAGAGAGCTGGCAGAAAGAATAATACAATGATATTTTTCGATAAAATATTGCTTTTCTACACTAGGCTAATTTTCGCCTCGTCTCTGTCAGCGCGACATAAAAGTTGGCAGATCCCACGTGCAGTCAGAATCGATGATATGTGAAGCACGAGTGAGAAATGGTGATATGTCAATTTAAAATCAGCACAACGTTACGAGCTGGAGGTAAATGTTGATGACTTTCGTGTCATGATTATCATGTTTTGATGTGTCGCATACCTTCGTCATCTGTTCGCGTCACGTGATACTAAATTTAGTGTATGTGAAGCTAGCGAAACGGCCGCAAGCACGTCATGAAAGGCCATATATATACTCCAATGTAGCGATGACGCACGCGCACGCTGCGCACAGCAACGCTTCGTTAGCAAAACGCGAGCACTCTATAGTCTTACGCCAGGCACCACCGGCGCGACCAGGGTCCATCGGCACGGCTCGATGGCAACTGGCGCGAAGTAAGGTGCGCTGCATTTCGCACCGATGCGTTACACAGACAAAACTGCGTCTCCCTTTTTTCCTGACGAAGGGACGCCAGATGCGCTGAAACGCATATGCACCAAAGCAACGCAGCGTGGCGCGCGCCTGCGAGTGTATGGCAGGACCGGCGCCTGGCGTGGCAACGCGGGCGTGACGCGACGAAATGAACGCCGGAGAGCACACGCACCACGTCACGTCAAAATGTATTGTCGCCTTGACTTGATCAATTATGGGCCATCCAGCGAGCACGGGAGGCGGCTGAGAGACAGGGTCTCTCCACCGCCCCTGGTGCGGCTTAGGCCCACGCCTGAATCCGCTGGTTAAATAAAGTTTGCTCACTGACTCACTCACTTGACTGTAGCATGTAGCCATGTTCTCACATGGCACGCTTCTCGTGATCATTATGTTTGCACCAGCCACATACCTTCGTCATTCATTGTCGTCACGTAATACCAAATTTGGCATATGTGTAGCTAGGGAAACGGCCGCGAGCGCATCTTTAGCGTAGCATGTAGCCATAGTAATAATATATGACACGCACCTCATGTTTATCCTGTTTGCACCAGTCTCATACCTTGGTAATCAATTCACGTACCGTAATACCAAAATTGGTGTATTTGACGCTAGTAAAACGGCCGCGAGCGCATAATAAGCTTGGCAGGTAGTCGTGTTGTTACATGACACGCATGTCATAATTTTCATGTTAGGAACTGTTGCTTGTGTTCGCCATGCAATCATGTCATACCATACAAGTTTTGCATCATGCCTTGCAAACGAAACCACCGCCAGAGCTGCCGGGGCATGAAATGTAAATGATGACATCAATGATATACGTATCCTGATATTCATATTATGACTTGTCAAATATGTTCTTCATACAGTCACGTTATGCCATACCAAGTTTGGTATCAATACCGTTATCTGAATGGCCAGGAGAGCTAAATATCGTAGGCGGATAGATAGATAGATAGATAGATAGATAGATAGATAGATAGATAGATAGATAGATAGATAGATAGATAGATAGATAGATAGATGATAGATAGATAGATAGATAGATAGATAGATAGATAGATAGATAGATAGATAGATAGATAGATAGATAGATAGATAGATAGATAGATAGATAGATAGATAGATAGATAGATAGATAGATAGATAGATAGATAGATAGATAGACGGACGGATGGACGGACGGATGGACGGATGTATAGATGGACGGACGGACGGACGGACGGATGTATAGATGGACGGACGGACGGACGGATGTATAGATGGACGGACGGACGGACGGACGGATGTATAGATGGACGGACGGACGGACGGATGTATAGATGGACGGACGGACGGACGGATGTATAGATGGACGGACGGACGGACGGACGGATGTATAGATGGACGGACGGACGGACGGACGTATAGATGGATGGATGGATGGATGTATTGATGGACGTATAGATGGATGTATAAATGGATGGATAGATACATGCCCTCAAAGTCGCCGAAGTTCGCTGAGAAATGCTTTAGCGTTTAGAAACTCGACTAGTGAAGATTCAGAAGAAGGCGTGGCATTACCTCGTACATTTGAGTGTTCTGATCTTCACTCTCGTCCAAAAAGTCGGCACTGAAATTGTTGAAGGTGTGGCATTTTAAATGCGAAGAATTTCTTAGCGAACTTCGACGACCTTTACCATATATATATATATATATATATATATATATATATATATATATATATATATATATATATATATGTGTGTGTGTGTGTGTGTGTGTGTGTGTGTGTATGACTTCAGCTATCGTGGCCATTTCGTTTTGATGTTGGGATCTATACCGAAACTATTTTTTCGTCGTCTGTTCCTCATTTGGAAGTATGTCACTACTTGTCTGCAAACTGACAGCACTTCTATGTTGACCCATAATAATCAGCAATGACTTTATCTTGTATTAGTCCAACCACACTCAACTCGGATATTGTTGAAAAGTGTATATCACCATTAACATTTTTACATATGAACATGTAGTCGTTACGCCAAAAATATGATGACTTTTGCATTTTAATAAACGAGTTCGAGTTTTCCTTCTCGGTTATTATGCTGACTGTGACGTGGTACTCTGATCTTGATACTATACATTTAGACGGCTACAGTGCCGTTTCTTTGAATAGGAAATTGAAAAGGGGAGGCGGTGTATGCATGTTCACAAAACTGGGATTTACCTATGACCTCCTCGATGACTTTTCTTGGTCCACAACGGACATTGAGGTAATTTGTATAAAATGCAACAATTTTGTATTTGCTGTCGTGTATAGGCCACCTGATGGTAACTTTAGCGAATTTTTCACGTTTCTAGAGGCTATTTTTTTGTTTGTAAACATAAACCAATACTCTTTAATTTTAGGAGGTGACCTAAACATAGATATGCTGACAAAAACTCCTAAACAGGGCGAATTATCTGCGATTCTCGATTCCCAATTTTTGTTTAATGTAATAACCACCCCCACACGTATCACTGCAACTAGTGAAACTCTTATCGACCTTTTTATTACTAACCTAGCAATTAATGACCTATTCTCTGGTACCATTACTGTGACACTTAGCGACCACTTGCCTATCTATTTAGTAACTGATACGTACAATACGGCAAAAGAATTCACTGTAAATATAATATATCAAGACATCAACGCGGTTACACTGTCGCAGTTCCGAGATGAACTCGCCAGAACAAGCTGGAACGCAGTTTTTGCGTGCTCTACGGCTGATACCGCATATGACCATTTCATAGAAATTTTTTCTTCGGTATATAAAAAACACTTTCCGTACAAAGAAATAACTAAGCCAAACCGCGCACGTAAGCCTTGGGTAACGTTAAGTATATTGAAAATGATACGTACGAAAAACAGACTTTACCAGGTGTTCTTGAAAAATCGCGATTTGAATGCACTGAAAGCGTTTAAGGCCTACAGAAACAGTCTTTCAAAAACTTTGATTATTGATTTGTGGGGTTTAACGTCCCAAAACCACCATATGATTATGAGAGACGCCGTGGTGGAGGGCTCCGGAAATTTTGACCACCTGGGGTTCTTTAACGTGCACCCAAATCTGAGCACACGGGCCTACAACATTTCCGCCTCCATCGGAAATGCAGCCGCCGCAGCCGGCATTTGAACCCGCGTTTCGAAAACTTTAAGGCAAGCCAAACGCGACTATTATCATACTATTTTTAACGGTATCGTAGATGTCAAGCAAATGTGAAAAAAACTAAACACAATTATATCTTCAAGTAATAGGACGCCCGGTGTCGACGAAATTACAATTGATAATCATATATTTAAAGGAACAGCATTAGCCAATAAATTCAATGGGTACTTTACTTCTTTGTCAGAAAGTACTTACGACGGAGATGCATTAAGTTACATGCCAACACCTATAGCCCCCTCAATATTTATTGACCCTATACGGAGCAAACTGAGGTA